TTCTCAATATTGGACATAAAATCAATAGTCTAGAAGGTGCAAAAGCAAGAAAAAGAAGCCATAGTAATTGGCTGTGAACAGGAACAACAACAGATCAGGATTTTGCCCTTGGGTAAATATTGTGCATTAGACATTGAAACAAAGGTCCAGGAGATACAGGAAGAAGAAGCCTTATGGACAGACTTTGTCTATGAGGAGGAGGGCAAAGAGGTTGAATCAAATAAACTGGAGGCAGGACAAAGCAAAAAGATTGCTTCGAAGGTAAAAGAAATAAAAAAAAGAAGCATCAGTAAGTCCTCAGATGCAAGACGCTTTGGAAGAAGTGAACTTGTGGGAAGGTTCTATACAGCAGCCGAACTATATAAGTGCTTGGTTGAATGCTCTTGACAGGGACCAGTTGTTGGTGGTCTTGAAGAGATATAAAGGTTGTTTTGCATGGTCTTATAATGAGCTACCAGGATTGGATAGATCATTAGTAAAACATAGGCTCCCTATGAGGCCTAATTTCAAGCCATATAAGCAAAAACCAAGAAGAATGAGTCATGAAGTGATTCAGAAGGTCAAGGAAGAAATCCTTAGCCTCCTCAAGGCAGGCTTTATTAGGACAGTCAGGTATGTTGAATGGCTATCTAATATTGTGCCTGTAGTCAAGAAGAATGGTAAAATGAGGTCATGCATTGATTTCAGAAATCTGAATCTAGCAACTCCAAAAGATGAGTATCCTATGCCCATAGTAGATTTATTGGTAGACAGCTCAGCAGGGCATTGAGTTTTATCAATGATGGATGGGCACTCTGGTTATAACCAAATCTGCATTGCAGAAGGGGATATCCATAAGACAACATTCAGATGTCATGGGAACATTGGCACATTCAAATAGGTTAAAATGCCATTTGGTTTGAAGAATGTTGGGGCTACATATCAAAGATATGAACACTATCTTTCATGATCTCATTGGAGGATATTTAGAGTGTTACATTGATGATATTGTAGTAAAGTCCCAATCCATGGGGGAACATTTGTTTCACTTGGAGGCAGCTTTTAAAAGAATGAGAAAGTTCAAGTTGAAACTCAATCCTCTCAAATATGCTTTTGGCATATCAGCTGAAAACTTCTTGGGCTATATAGTGCACAAGTAGGGAATACAGATTGATCAGAATAAAGCCAAAACCATCATTGAAGCCAGACCTCCATCAAGTAAGAAAGAAGTACAAAAGTTTCTTGGGCAGGTTAATTTTCTTCGAAGATTTATTTCTAATACTGCAGGGAAAACTAAAGTATTTTCTTCCTTATTCAGGTTGAAAGATGAAGAGGAATTTGTGTGGACAATAGAGCATCAAACTGCTTTTGAAGGAATCAAAGCCTACTTAGCCAAACCTCCAGTGCTGATGCCATCAAAGGGTGATAAGCCCTTGAAGTTGTACATAGCTGCAGTAAAAGATTCACTGGGAGTTTTCTTAGCATAAGACAATGAAGAAGGCAAAGAGTAAGTAGTTTACTACCTTAGTAAGTTTCTAAATTCTTATGAATGTAAATATTTAGCAGTAGAGAAGCTGTGCCTTGCATTGTATTTTGCTACAATGAAATTAAGATACTATCTTTTGCCTACAACTGTCTTGGTAATTGCAACCACAGATTTGGTTAAATATATGTTATCTAGACCCATGTTGAGGGGAAGAATTGACAAATGGATATTAGCTTTATCAGAATTTCATCTAGAATATGTTACCCAAAAGGCAGTAAAAGGATAAGTTTTAGCTAATTGTTTGGCAGACCATCCATGTCAAACAGAAAGCCAAGAGATAATGGAACTTGGTATGGCCAGTGTCGAACCATGGAAAATGTGGTTCAATGGATCAAAAGCTAATGGTCTAACTGGAATTGGTGTAGTAATTAAGTTGCCATAAGGGGTAGAAACCACACATGGTTTCAGAGTGGATGAAATTACTTGTTCTAATAATCAAGCAAGTTGAATATGAAGCCTTAATAAATGGGACTGGAAATACTTACTTGGATTACAAGCTCATGCAGTTAAGCATATTTGAGAATTCTTAATTGGGTGGTTAACCAGGTGAAAAGGATTTTCCAAATGTCAAAGTGAAGCCTGTTTGCATACTATGTTGTTGCATTACATATTACATCTGCTTCTCAATTCAGATAACAAATTGTAGCTTATGTCCCAAGATTCTTGATAATAAAGCTAATGATGTGGCTTAGAAAGCTTCGATATTTCAAGAAAATGGATAAATCTCAAGGGACATAAGCCAAACAACAAATCAGAAAGTAATACCACCCTTAAATAAAATGAATGTGTCCTTGAAAGTCAACTCGTAATGACTTACAGAACAAGATTGGGAGCATCCAATAATGCAGTATCTAGCTGGTCCATCTTTGAAAGCCAGCAGAAAAATCAAATTGCAATCTATGCAATACATCAATATATGGTAATGCCTCTTACAAAAGGGAGCAGATGGGTTATTGTTGGAATGTTTAGTCCAAAGAAGCATTGACAGCTATGCTGAGGTTCATGAAGCATCTGTGGGCTCATCAGCTCTGGTGTGAAGATGAGATGGCTGCTTCGAAGACATTCCTACTATTGGCCAACCATCCTTAACGACTATATAGAATTAGCTAGAGGTTGCCAGCATGCCAAAAGCATGTCACATAAGGCATGTACCCATAACTGATCTGCATGCAGTTGTAAGCCTTGGCCATTTAGAGGATGGGTCATGGATATGATGGGAAAAATACATCCACCCTCTTCAAAGCATCATTGTTTCATTTAGTGGCCACAGATTATTTCACTAAGTGGGTGAAGCTAAGCCATATAAGGTTGTAGACCAGATCGAAGTTATTGGATTCATTAAAGATCTGAGTTACATATTTGGAATCTCACAGACTATAACTGTTGATAATGGACTGTATTGATGGAAATGTAAAGTCTTTTGTGGCAAGTTTGAATTAGCCTTATTAATTCCTACCCT